ACATACATGCACACCCTTACACATACACTCACACACACTCTCACACACACATAATGCAGTCACACACGACTCATACATACATGAACACCCTTACACATACACTCACACACATATGCTATATCTCCTGTAACAAATGAGATCTCACATTTTCTTGGTAACATGATTTAATATTTTAAATTGTCTTATTGGGGGAGGCAAAGTTTAAAAAAGTGACATGTTTAAAATTTCACAGGTAATTCCATTGAGCAACCAATTTGAGCCCCACTCTTCTCTGTGCCAGGGAATAGTTCCTGGTGCTGGAGAAGTTGCAGTCGGCAAGCCAGATGAGATAGTTACTGCCAGAAATGAAACATGCCACTTAATAAGACAATATTGGCTAGATGAGTTCTCTTCAGGGAAAAAAAAAATAGTGTAACAAATATGAGAGGGAATAACTGGAGTCCGAGGCCCTTCCAGACGGAGGGGTCAGGATAGGACTGTCAGGCTTCTTTCGACGGGAGATCTAAATCTCAAGAAGGTGCCATGAAAAGAGCCCAGAGAAAAGCATTCCAGGCAGAAGGAGCATCTGGGGTGTTCTGGACAACCTCCCTTTGCCCCCGCCCCAGACCCACTCTTTCTCCTCTCACCTTGCTTGCCAGCAGGCTAGGCTGGCTAGTAAAGGCTTCTTCAGCAGGGCCTGGCATGTAGGCACCTGTAGGGTGAGGAGCTAGTGTGGGGGTCCTGGAGGGTAGAGTCTCAGGAATCATTTGGCAAATATATGAAGAACTTAGAAAATATCCTTGGATATGATGCTGCCACTTTTAGGGCTTATGTACAAAGATCTTCATCACAATGTTATTTATGAAAGAAAAACCTGGAAACCATGTCAATAGCCCATGAAAGCGAATGGTTAAATACATTTTAATGTGTCCATTTTGTGCAACAGGAGGGTGCTGGTAAAAATGTTCACTGCAGCAGGCCTGCAAAAAAAGGGTGAGAGATGAAGCTAGGTAAATAAGAGCAAAGTCTGCCTGTCCTGTCAGAAAATTGGTAAAACTTTTAAAAGGCAAACTGGGAAAATGTTCATTACCTATAACAAGAGTTCTTACAAGTGAGAAAGAAAAATTTGATACAAAAGTGAGCAAAGGAAAAAAAATGAACAAAAGACTTGAAGAGAGAATTTCTAAAAGAAATTTTCACTAAACATATGAAAAAAATTCTCACCTTCACATTAAAAAAAATTAAAATGAGGTACCTTTCATGAAAGTAATAATTACTGTTTAAAGGACATTAAACTGCCGTCGTACCCCCTAGTCAATAAGTACATTTTTACGAAGGTTCTAGAGGGTGATTTGGCAAAGTTAATTTTTCGCCAAATATGCGTTGAGTGCCTGCTGTGTGCCAGGCACTGATAAGCGATCTCACTGGGGGGTGGCAGGAGTGATTCAGCACCCAGGGGGCATTTGGAGTTTTCACAGTGATTGAGAAGTATTACCAACATTTAGCACCCAGATGTTATGGATGGCAAGGGTCCTGAATTGACTTTGGGTCGTAAGAATTGCTTTGGCCAGAGGAGTGTGGGAAGCTCTGGGATTGTGTCAGTTTGGGCTGCGGGGCAAGAACCCTTCTGTGTTTCCATCACTCTCTCATGCTCATTCCATCCATCATGAGAACCTACCCAGGCAGCCACTGCTCCCTGCCTGGGCCTCTGGCTGAGAAACAGACATGAGAGAAGGGAGGGGACCTGAAACCCCAGCCCAGCTCAATCCAGCCAGCCTCTTGAGCAGGATATCAATGGTTGTTTTGAGCACTGAAGATTTGGAGTTGTTTGCTAAGTGTGGTCACTTAGCAAACCTGACATAGACACGGCACAAGGAAGAATTGTCCCTCCAAATGCTATACCTGCCCCCCCAGCATCCCCACATGGCAAACACTGGATACAGAAAATGAACAAAGTGGAGTTGTGGGATGAACGTGCACAGTCAACAAATAATCATATCAACAATTACATGTTTGCATGTTGAAGTCAGTGCTCTTAATGACAACTTGAAAGGTGGGATTTTGAAAAAGAGGAACAGGAGGTACAATTTTGAGTGAGGAGTCATTCAAAGTTTCTCCAAGGACATGGCGTTGGAAACCTGGAGTTGAGCAAGAGTTAGACACAGAGTAGGGAAAAGCATTTCAGGCTGAGGAACCTGCATGGCCAAGCAGAGGAGCTCTGAG